TTTTCGGATCGTGCCAGTAGAGCCGTTGCCATTTGGGAAAACACAGATGGAGCTCTTTCATCGAGAAAAGTAACTTGGATACTTAAACGTCGCGAGAAGGACGAATAAACGACAAGACGTGGAAGGCAATTTTTCCAACCGGTTCGGATGCAATTCCTGGTAAAAGCAACGCGGTTATCGCGATAAATGGTGCATACCTCATTTTCCGCCCAACAACAAACTCGAGACGTATTGATTACGTTCCAAACGTCATCCTCGCGTCTTTGAGCTTCAAAGAGGGCTTGATTACCGCACATGACTTACCTTAGCCATATTCGACGCTCCTCTCAAGAGCCGTCGCTTGTCTCCTTAAGTAACGAGGGAAGTCCCGTGCTCCTTTTGGCTCCTTACTCTGCAGGATTCGTGACGAAATTTTCGACAACTGCGTGGCTTCGGCTCAATCCGATTCTCGACTTCACAGTCCCTGCTCTCTTCTTTGCGGGAACTTGACCCTCCTCGGAATTGGAACCTTTCTTTACCTATTGCCTGCAATTGAAGATTATTACACAAATGAAGCAATTGTGTAAGGCGAAAATGAAACGCGACCGGAAACTATGAGGTTTTGGTATCATTTTGAAACGTAGGCAAAGTGGCCGTTTCTGGAAAAAAGAAGGGGAAAATTGTCCATGTTCTCGAGATGGAACTCGACTGTAAGTCTACAAATTAAGGTCCGAGTAAGGCACACTTCCCGTATTAACCCTCTTCCTGAAGTGCTCTGTAATGTTAGACTTGGTGGAATTCATAGGTGGCTGTATCATTATTTAAGACAGTGTAGTTCTCTGCTCAAAGTTCCGTTGGAATCTAAACCATTTCCTGGTCAGTAATCCTCATTATCATTTTATAATTTATCAGTTGAAAAGTACATTTTTGATGGCTCATTATCTCAAACTACAGAGTATGGGATAAACCAAATCGCCTTTTGCATCCGGAAATCTACCATACGAAGGCTGTGATCCAGTACATGGTAACTTTAGTTTAAATCTATTCTTTCTCTTGTACCTGATTATCTGTTTATCCTTGCTCTTTTTAGTGTGAAATTCTGAAGGTTCCACCTTCAATTTTCGTGGATCTCCATGGTCATTCACGTAGAGCGAATGTTTTCATGTTCGGCAATAACCCGGAAGAGTCATGGAGAGCCGTTGATAAAACTCTGCCGCACAACTATGAGTTTATGACCTTACCTGAAGTGCTTGAGCAGGTATTCAACGTGGCTTGGTTCACTCCCTTATTCGTTTCTTTCTATTGTTTCCTTTGATATCCTATGTTTATTTTTCACTGTGCCCTTCTTAGGCTGTTAAACTTCCCACCGATGTGGTGTTCACTCAGTGATTAGTTTTCCAAGACAGCGTCTTCTCCCCACTTTTGACGAATCTTTATTCCTCCACGAACTAAGCTTTCATGTTTTTTCAGAGTTCCTCGGCTTTCTCATTCAATCTTTGCCAATTCGGCATTACCAGAGGAAAGGAGTCCTCAGCCAGGGTGACAGTTTGGAGACAATTTGGTGTTACCAGGGCGTATACAATGGAGTCGACCTTTTCGGGGTTCGAAACAGGTGCCTATAAAGGCTTTCAGGTAACTACTTGATAAGTTACGGTTTTCTTCATTTCGTTAATTCATGCAACAGTCTCCGTTCAGATTGGAACGAAAGATCTCAAAGAAGTTGGCCGTGAATTGCTTCTTGGAATATTGACTGTTTTCAAAATGGCTGGTTCTCATCCAAAAAAGCTGCGCAAAAGTGGTTCCAAAAAGGACGGAAGTTCGGTAGAGCGATCCAGCATTCCTACAGAGAAACATAGTAACAACTAAACAGGACAACTAGGGCAGCAACAGGATGAATTTTGTTTTTGTATATTGTGAGGTCAGAATCGTGTACAGGTCCTTTTAAAACATTTTCAATCATAAATTCGCTATGAGCTGTGCAGGATATAGTTTTATGTTTTTCGTAGATTAATTTAGTATACATTAGTGTCTCGAGATGTTCTCATTGTATAGAACGGCAGTGATGTAGCGCTACTCGCTGTCATATCGTTCTCAATAAAGTTCATTAATGTAGGTGTGGGATTGAGCCCCCAATAATAAAACAATAATAACAAATAATATAATATATGTAACAGAAGCGTAGCTGATTTGGTCAATTGAGGACTGGGACGTGTCCA